GTTTTGAATGTGGCAGCACTTCCTGGGAGAAGTTAATAAAATAGGGGGAAAAGCAAATCCTGTGGTCTAAAAGTTTTATGCCGTTCAGGGATTTTTTCAGCTAATGTGGAAATTTCAGTGGAAATTTTAGGGATATCATCTTTTCTTTCCTCTTCACCTTCACAAAGAGAGATGCGCGCAGAGGGCAGGGGCTAGGAAACACCCTCCAACCAGCATTATTCCCTAACCGCGTGGAAAAATTTTGAAGTCGTTTGGCTTGTCAAAAACCATACAGCCCTCAAGGAGAGCAAGCTCTGAAAACCCTTGTAAAACGCCTCTTTCATTCTGGCATCACAGAAAGGACTTTTTGTTTCCCGGCGAGCAGCTGCGCGGCTCGGCGCTGCCTGTCCGCGCGCGTGTCCCAGCCACTAACCCAAAGTGCCCGGAGCTCGTGCTGCCACTGCTGCCCCTCTCCTGCAAAACATGAGGTTGGAAGAGCCCAGCATTTGCAGACCCAGGGCTTCCACACGCCCCTGGCCTGCAGTGAACCCTTAGATATCTGCAGGATGGAGAAGGCGCGAAGAAATCGTGGTGCGCACGCAGCGCAGCCCGGCGCGGGGCTGGTGCCCAGCACACGGATATAAAATACAGCGCCCTGCCATAAAACATGCACTGCTAGTCTATATATTTTGCAATCCCTTTAAAGATTTTTTTTTTCTTTAAACCCCTCACCCCAGCTCCCTCCCCGCTCTCCCCCCAAAAAAATTATTATAAAGAATTATTGCCATTAGTACGTCTTTCCCAGTGAAAGGAGAAAATCGCCTCATTCATAATTTATACCCTCAATTACTATTAATAAAGAAATATTTCAGCAGAAAATCGCCTGGGAAAATTACACGTAACATTGCATTAACATTCTATTTGAACATTTTCATCACATTTGTTATAGAGTTAATAAGAGGGATATGCTCCCCTGACTTCTTCATGAAATTATGGGCTGCCTATGATAGTTTAATCTTTTAGACTTTATATAATATATTCACTTTACTAATTGAGCTATCCAAGGAGCAGTTAGGGATGTTCTTAAACGTGGAAGACAAAGTAATCAGGGCCGTGACTTCCTGACTAGCAGATCTTCTTCCGGAGATGAGGAGCCACATGTGTGAGGAGCACGGTGCTGTGTGTGTGCTGGGTGCTGCTCCACCAGCCCTTCCCGTCACGCCCTGCCTGCCATGGAAAGTGAGTGGGACTGCAGGGTTTTGGTGATTTTCAGGCAGGAGAAGGATTCCCCGAAAGCTCCGTTTGTATTTCAGAGAGTGGGTCTGGTGGGCATGACCGAGATCTCCTCCCTGGAATAAGAAATGCCCATTGTCGGGGGGTTTCTCAGGAGCACTGCTTCGTCTGGACAAGCCTTTAGGGTCAAATTCCCTGCTGGGCCCAGTAGGGTACCCCATGGGGATTGCTCTTGCCCAGCGTGAGCTCGTCCATAGGTGAGCACCTGCAGTCCCCCCCAAACTGCTCTTACGACTTCAGATCCCTGCAGACTGCTGGCAAATCCTGACGGCGAGCCAAAGGGTTAACAAAAAGCTTTCATGCCCTGGGATTCATTATCTGGAACTCATTAACCAGCAAATAAGAGCCCGGATGTTGCCAACTGAGCCCTGCTGAAGGCACCTCCTGGGGGTGAGGCAGCCTGGGACGGCAGGAGGACTCCTGCAGGAGACCAGAGACGGGACCCAAAGCTGTAGGTTGGTCTCCTCGGTCCAATCCCACTGTTCCCCATGGAGCAGAGCACCCCGTATGGGTGCAAAGGGACTCGGGGCTCCATCGAGGTTTTAATAGTGGAGCCTGGTCCTCCTGGGGTGCTCAGCACCCTCCCTGCCGAGCCTACAACCAGCATTTTCCTGGGTGGGACGAGCCTCGGCCACCACTGAGCCACGCTGGGCAAGCAGCAGCCCAGGGAGCCCACAACGGGCAGGGGGCCACGAGCTGCCCCCTCTGCCAGCACAGGGGGGGGGGAAATTTCCAGGGCTGAAGGAGCAGAGACCAGGGAAGGTGAAGCCTGGGCTGTTGGCCCCGGGGAAGGGCAGGATGGGCCAGGCTGCAAACAGGACGAGGCTTGTAAACAGGGCTCCAGCTGGGATAAATTTAGTCCGTTGGGGCTGCAGCTCCAGCGCGGCAGGACACAGTGTCAGGGCATTGTCGAAAGGAGAAGGGGGGAAAGAAGCTGAATAAACAAACACAGCTTGTCCTTTTTTTTTCTTTTTTTTCTTTTTTTTTTTGTGTCCCAGCGTTGTTATTTCAGCCGGACAATTGCCCTGCAGATTGAGGGAACAGGCTGGAGTTCTCCCAGCCTGTTCCCTCATTTTTTTTTTATTTTTTTTTTGCTTTGTGTTTCCCCGTGGGAATGCGTCATGGCATTGCTGTGCCCCGTACCTGTGTGCTCGGACAGCCTGCAGACGCTGGTCCCAGGGTCACCGCTTCGCAGCCCCGCTGGGACCATGCAGCTTGGCTTTAGCAGTCATGTAAATTTTACTTTCTGTGCATACTCAGCCCAAGCTGCCACCCATGGGTGTCCAGGGGCATTTATCCATGGGGCAGAGCAGCTCCAGAGGCGTCCTCCTTCATGGAGGAGCTGAATGTCTCTGCAGGACTTGAGAAATGGGGATCAGGGCTCCCGAGCATTTTCCCTAGTTCTGTCGTGGGTTTTGGACAGGCCTTATTTCCCTGACAAAATCACCCGTGATCCAAGGAGCAAAGGGCACGGAGCGCTCTGTCAGCGCTGCTCTGCCAGGACCGAAGTCTTCTCTAAAGGCCATGTTTAGAGGCAGCCCAATTTTCACATCTTAATTTTATTTTTCTCACATCTCTCCCTGACACACACATGCACGCACACACACACACTCCTATTGGAAAAACGATTTTAATACCCATGGCACATTGTCCTGGTGTGATATAAAATCCAATGACATGTGGCATTTGGAAAAGGTCACTTCCCCCATCAGGATTCATTATCCTGCCTCAGCCCGGGAAGCCATGGGGTTGCCCCCGCCTCTGCGGACCCCTTGCCCCTCACCGGCTGCGGTGGGCGAGCAGGACGAGGGGACGAGGCAGGGCAGCTGCAGAGCGAGGGCTCTGCTTGCTCAGTGCTCATGTCCTGGCTTATGGTGAGGCTCAGGACGTGCAAACCAACTCTTCTGGTCAATTTTGGGTGCACGAGGCTCGGGCTGGCTTTCTGCTGCCTCCCCCTGCCCCGTCTCTGTTCCCGTTCGAGCAGGAGCCGGCTCTTGCGGTGCCCTCGCTCCGCACGGTTGCAGAAGGGAAACGTTCCCCTTCCCTGTTTCACTTGTTCAATTTTCAGCCGGGCGGCTTTGGGAAGTGCCCTTCTGGGTCGGTGTGCTCACCACCGGCTAGGCAGAACCGAGAAGAGAAAGCAGAGGAGGCCAGGACAGCCCGGCTCCTTCCCCAGGACCCCCTGTGCCCAAGCACCCCCACCTCCCCGCGCTGCTTCCAGCTCCCCGCAGCCTGCAGGTGCCCGGTGGCACCTCCCAGAGAAATGTCCCACGAGGAAGACAGGGGGACTGGCACTGAGGACTTCTCCCCTTTGCCACAAGTGACCTGGGGCCACCCTGTCTCCTCCAGGGGCCAGTTCCCCACCCGTGGCAGAGGGGAGGTGTGAGGGTGGGTGCGGGGAGAGCAGAGGCTGGGGCAGGGCAGGGGATGAGGGCAGCAGAAAGGTGGTTGTTTTGTTTGTTTGTTTTGTTTTTTTCCCCATAAAGAGGAGGATTTGCATTATTTTTGCATCAGGGAGTGGGGTTTGATGCCTGCTGAAGATGACTTTTCTGAGTGCTGAGGGTGATGGCGAGTGTAGCCCCTTCCACCGTATAAACACCAGTGAGTTATGGGTACCCCAGCCTCTAATTATGCAGTCAGCCCCAAATAGGCTGTGTCTAACGAGGCTGACAGACTAATATCTCAAGAGCCTTTAATGCGTTATCATCTCTTGCTGTATGACCTCATATTTATAACTGCTCTGGTGGGAGGTTGAGAAATGTCCTTCTCTTCCCCCAGCCCCCTCCCCAACTTCCCCCCCCCCCCCAGCAGCAGCTCTTCAGCCTCATCTGTTAGGATCAGGAGGAGAGAGGCGACTTCTCTCCATCCATCACCAGCCGAGTTCGCGCTATTAGATGATTAAAGACATTTTTTATAATATTTGGAAGAGGCTCTGAAATGTCTCTCAAACAGAGTGATTTATGCCCGCTTAACCCTCGCCTAGGCCGGGCCAGGGGCCGGGGGTGGCAGCAGCCCAAGCCGTTGGGCAGCCCGGTGACAAGGTGTGATTCATGAGCACGCAGCACCTGCAGGAAGCTCCGGGCAGCTCCCAACGCAACGGGGACTTGGTGGTTTCTGAGGCTGCAACGGCTCGAGCAGGAGGAAACAGCGCCTGCCCCCTCCCCAGCGCTTACACAAGAGGCGCCGGGGGGGGCCGTGCCCCACCACGCGCATGTGGCACCTCCTGCTCCCACCCAGGAGCAGGAATATCCCATCCCATCCCATCCCATCCCATCCCATCCCATCCCATCCCATCCCATCCCACCCATCCCATCCCATCCCATCCCATCCCATCCCAACCATCCCATCCCATCCCATCCCATCCCATCCCCACTGACATGAGCCGCTCGTGCTCCCACTCCACATTTCCCTTTCCCTTTTCCCCATCCCTCCCCTGCCCTGTGCACGCCGTGCTCCCAGCTGCATGGTCTCGCTCCCATAAAGAGCCACGGGCATCTAGATCCATCTTTAGGGCACCGCAGCCTTGCTCAGAGTCGGTCAGTAAGACTTTTGGGGGATGATGGCCGTGCTCGTGCTAAAAACCATCCGGAGGCCAAATCGCTGATGTTCTCCGTGGTTTGTCCCAGTGGGGAGTGGAGGCTTGCCCGCAGGTTGGGGAAGGAAGCCCGCCTCCTCTGCTCACAGACGTAATATTTCATAATCCCAATTTCTTGTCAATTGATTGCCAGATAGAAGCGACAACCAAAGAGGGCCCCAGGCGTCTGCAACTGCCACTCATCGTATGATTTTAACTCTCCCCCTCTGTAAGTTGGCATTCTTTTCTTCTTGTTGTTGTTGTGTCCTAAAGAAACGTTTTCTCCCCCCTTCCCTCCCCAAAAAGACTCTGGGAATCCCGCTGCCCTCGTCAGTTTGGTGCTGAATGTCTGAATAGGCGAGGAGGGTTAATGCATGACCAATAGGTGTTTCGTTAAAATGCTTCATCTGTCATTACAGAGTCCAAGAGATCAATAGATTTCTTATAATCACGGCCTAAAATCATCTTCAGCGCCACTGCTTGCGGGCGTCAGACCCTGGGCAGCATGTTTAGGGGACCTGGGCATCTCCTGCCACCCCCTGGTGCCCCCTGTGCCGTGCCCCCAGTGCTCCCACTGCCAGGGAATTTCAGTGGCCTGGCCACCCCCCATCCCCAGCCCCTGTCCCAAGGGTGCAGATCCCCCTGGTGCCCAGTCCCTGGGGGCTGTCACACCCCCTAATTCCCCACGAGGTGCCACCTCCCAGCTCCCCCCTCCATCTGCCTGCCCCGAGCTGCTCCTGGGCAGCTCTGGAGACACCGTGACAAATCCCACAGCCACGGGACCCCAACCACCCACACTGACCCTGCAGCTCCTGCAGGGGACAAGAGGGTTCATATAAAATGATGGCGAGCCCATCCCATCACTTTCCACGTCTCTTTCCTGCGCTCACCCAGCTACACATGGCTTGAGCAACCTGGGGAGAAATCCCCACGCTCCTGTCTGCCCCACGGGTGGGTGCCCGGTGCTCGTCCCCTCCCACGTCCTCTCCACAGGGCTGGGAGGAGATTTTCCAGCCCCCCTGGGTCCAGCCCTCTCCTTCCCTGCCTCATTGCTTATTTTCGGGCCACTATCATCCTGAGCTTTTGTCTGTGGGTCTCCGGGACCCTCTGCCCCACAGCCAGATGCTTCCCCGTCTCCTCCAGGGAGCCTGCTGCCCCTGGGAGCCCTGACCCCAATCCTTCTGTGTGGCTGCCCAGGAGGGCAGGCTCCCCACACCCTCACACACCGGGCACGCTCATGCCCCACTCCACAGCCCCATGGCTGGGTGCCAAGGAGGAGTAAAAACATCGGGTGGCAATTTGGGGGCTTGGGAAGCACCAGAATCTGATTGTGTTTGTGCTGCCATCCTGCACCACGTGGCAGCGGACACCTGCACCCATGGGTGCACTGCCCGTCTACGTGCATGGTCAGTGTGACCACATTGGGGTTGTGGAGAGGATTTGGGGTCCCTCAGGCTCAGGTTTACAGAGCTGTAGTGGGATTGCGTTTCCAAATCGCCACCACTGCTGCGTCAGATGGGGAGCAGCATGGACACCCCCTTTGCCACCAGCCCCTCTCTTGCTCTCCTCCTGCCCCGGGGACATCCTGGCCACCTGGGCGAGGTGACCAAGGGTTGCTCTGGATGCCAGCAGGTCCCAAAGAGAAGGAACGGGGTGCGGGGCCCCTCCACCAAGCACCACCCGTCCCCGCAGCCCCGTCCCCTCCCCGGCCGCCCGCATTCCTCCGCAGCGCCGGGGAGGGGGCCAACCTTTGGCACGTTTATTGACACTCCCTGAGTTCATACTGCGACTCTACAATCTTTCCCCAAGATTATTAAGAATTAATTGATCACTTTTATATCCCCCCGATACCCAGTGCTGCTCCGCGACAGGCAGCGGGAGGAGGAAGGGAGACGGGGAGGAGGGCGGGGTGTGTGTAAAAAACACACTGATAAATGTTAATTACTCTTTTACAGCCCTTGTCAAATTCCAAAGCAAGTCGTAAATTCATTAAACTCTAACGGATTAAGCACATGCAGCTTATTTAGTCGCCATAAACAAGATCATTTGGATGTTGATTTTCCCCTTTTTATTGCTCCAGCAGAAAAGGGGAAAAATCAGATCAGGGAAGCAGTTGGTGGTTACCAGGGCGTCCGAAAAGTTTGGATTTATTTTATATCTTGTTTTGGTGCTCCGTGGCAGCTCTCCGGAGCCCATCAGTCCCCTGGCAGGGAGCGTGGGGCTGCCAGGAGCTGAGTCCTTGCCCCAGGTGGCTGAGCCTGAGCAGGACAAGCAGGGGAGGAAAGGGGCTGTGGGACGTGGCCACCATGGTGCTAAAAGGGTCTCAGGGCTGCCTCCTGAGTGCCGAGGCTCTTAAAGACCTGAGACAGACGGGATGCTTTTCCCATTTAGCACACCACCAGCCCTGCTTGCCGTGGGACACATTTCTGTGCCCACTCTGCCGCTGTCCCCAGGGTGCTGAATGTGTTCCCAGCAGAGCCTGGCGGCGGAGGAGAGGAGCAGGGGAGGGATGCCGTGCTGCCACCAGCACCCAACGGGGAGGGACGAGGTGCCTGTGGCTGCTCTGAACACGGGGACGGGCCCCGGGGTCCGGGCCCTACATCGCTGCCGACCCGCGCGGCGTGCTCGCCATCCTGCACTTGCACGTGTTAATAATCCAGGCTGACCTCCTGGGCTGCACGAGCAGGGGAAGGAGAATGAGAGGAGGGTCACGGAGATTAATTAATACTCAGGGCTCTAATTATGAGTTTCTTCAACACCGGGCTTCTAATGAGGAACAGGCGCTGAGACAGCTCCGAGTCCCGCTGCCCCCCAGCTGGCCCTGCTGAGACGTCTCCTGCCTCCTGGCAGGGCCAGTTGTTTGGGGAGAGGGATGGGAGCCAGCCCCCGGCCCCCTGCATCCCCCCCACTGCTGCATGGCGAGCACTGGAGACCTCCCACCACCCCCAGCACACTGGGGGGACAGGGGCAGGAGGTGGCCATGGGGACCAGAGGACCTTGGTGGGAGCATCCCCTTGTTCCCATGGGGTGGAGGATGCTTCCCAGGTGCTGTGCTGGTGGCCAGCCCTGCTGATGCTGTGGGGTTGGCCGTGTCCCACTGAGCTGCTGGTGGCCGTGGGGTTTCTCCAGCACCCAGGAGCCTCCGGTGAGGCTGTGCTGATGGGAGCAGGCGGCAGCCGTGCGCTGCAGGCAGCAGAGGGAACTCTAAACACCTTGCTGGTGCTCACTGCTTCTCTGCTACGGGGAAAAAAAATTAGGGCTTTTGCTTCAGCACTTCTAAAAAAGATGTCCTGAACAGTGGAGGGGTGACCTCCTTCCTCCAGCCCTGCCTGAGCCTGAAATCAGTACATCCCAGAGGGTCTGTGCCATGGGGATACACACAGCCACCCTCTGTGCTTGCCCCCTGGGGGGCACAGGGGAGGAGAGGAGGGGTCTCAAACACCGGGGTGTCATCCTTCAGAGCCCCACTCCTGGCCAACATCTCCCTCCTGCAGGCTCCAGCCCTTTCCTCGTGGTGGGTGCAAAGGGCACTGATAAGCACTGCAGAGCCAGCAGTGCCTGCAGGGTCCCCCCTGCACAGCCCGGGGCTCGGCTGCCGTCACCCCACATGGGGACGTGCCCCGGGGTCCCCTCCCGAGGTCCCCCCACGGCGATGGGCACTGAGGGGGCGGCGAGGGGTTAACGGCAGGAGCGTGCCCCACGCTAAGCAGTAGCTAACAGCCACCAGCTAATAACTTTATGGCTTCAAAGCAGCGCATTTATCATGCTGAAGTTTGTTTATGCACTAGTTATATGGCGCGTTAGACCAGATCTGTGTTTGGCTGATAAATTCCCGGTGACAAGCGAGGCTACCAATGGGGACTTGCTGAGTCCAAAAGACCAGTAGCTTTTTCCTGAACTCTGCTTTCTGAGATAAGCCTGGTTTTTCCTTCTTTTACTTTGTAACTAGGGAAAAAAAAAAAAAAAGGCAAAGTAAAGAGGGAGATTCCTGTCCCAGACAAGTCGCCCAACGCCACGGTCCCCACCGTGGAGCAGAGGAGGAGGAGGAGGGAGGCCGCCTGGTGAGGACCTTCCCGGAGGCTGTGTGGCAGCACCTCCGTGGTGGCAAGTGATGCACATGGGCCCGCACCAGGAGATTTGTGCATGTGCAGAGCAGGCACTGATAAGCCCTTATGGGATCTGGGAAGTTCCCACGATCAGCAAAGCTCGGTTCCTGCTGCCTGCAGGGAGTGTATTTCGGGGGTGGAAGGATTAGAGGGCAGCGTGGCGACCTTCTAGTCCTGCCTAAAGTTTCTGAAATGATATATGATCGTAGTATTCGTCATTATCTCTCACTGTTTTTATTGTACTTGTCATTATTTTGAGGTTGCGTGAGCGTGCAATTTGTTGCTGAGCACAGCACGGCTGCTGCGCTCACCTGTACCCCCTCACTGCTGGGCTAAATCGCTTTAATCCTGCTAATAATAATGACCTTCACATTTCTGGCTAGCTCTATCACTGGAGCCAAACCCACTTTGCAAACATTAACGAGCTCGGCCTCCCGACTCCGTGCAAACAGGATGGGTCAGGATTAGCTCTGCTGCTGCGGCACTGGGGAAACTGAGGCAGAAAGCAAGGAGCGGGCTGCTCCAAGCCCACCCTGAGCGGCTGCATGCGGAGCCTCTCAACCCTGTGCCCTTTGCTGTAACCATTAGATCTCACCCTGCTCCAGTTTCGAACCAGTGGAGGCTTTCACTGGACCTGGGGCTGCCTGGGATGCCCAGGCGGGACGCCCAGCCCTGCTCACACCTCCGCGGTGCCACCGAGGCGGTTTGGGTGCAATGTGTGCATGGGTACAAAATGTGTGTCTGCACCTCCGCCTGCTGTGTTAGCATCCCTCGTGGCTGCCCACCTGCACGGCCATCCCTATCATAGGGTGTCCCTGGCGGGGCCGGGTACCTGTGGCATCCCCGGCCCCGTACCTGTGCCCGTCCCGGGTCCGCGTCCTGTGCCTGCGCGTACCGGCCCCTGCAGGCTGTAAATACTGCCAGTGTGTCGGGGAGGTTGAGCGGTTTATGGCTCAAGGTCAGGCCCATGAATCATAAAAAGGTGTCGGAAGGAGCATTAACTCCTAGCCTTCGCTCGGTCGCTGTGTGGTTTCAGGCGGGGCCCCGGAGGCAGTGATTAAAGGGTGCACCTTCCCCTTTCAGTTTTACGGTAAAAGGAAAGCAGTAAATTAGAAGCCCGCGG